TTAAACATGTTAGCTTTGTCATCTGGTGTGACGACCAAGTTTCCCAACGCGTCCTGCAAGGGCCCCACATTACCTGGGACCTTCTTTTTACCCCCTATGTATTTAAAAAAAGACTTCTTATTGTCCTTAATCTGGGAAGCTAGTCCCAGTTCCATCTCTGCCTTGGCCTTCCTAACTACCCCCCTACATCCCCGAGCAACTGCAGAATAGCCCTCCTTGGTGATGACCCCTTCTTTCCATTGGGTGTAAGCCACCTTTTTAGCAAGGAGACATTCCTGGATGCAGTTAGGTGATTTGCTGCAGTGATGCACTATCAAGCAATAAAGAGGGCCAGTTCAGCATTTTCTTCCCTGCTCAAACTTGATTCAAAATGTAGATTTTGTTTAAAATAATAATGCTGGTGATGCAAGGTTTTGAAAATCCAAAAGCTTTTGAAAATAAAATTCCTAATTTAAAGAATATCTGGTGGAAACAGCTGTTTTAGAACAAAACCTAGCTTTGCAGCACATACAAACCAATCATGGGAAAACTGAGCTGTCCTTCCTAGTATTTTGGCTGCCTAAGCTGAGGGAAGATTCACAATATAAGTGACTGTTATTAACCTAGACTTAAAAGGGAAAGAAATGTTTGTTTACCACATCTGTTTATGAGCTAAAGCTTTTGGCTGTTCCTGGTTTTCAACTCTTATGTCCTCTGGCTGTCTGCCTCTTACTTATCCTTAGTAATTTGGACAGAGACACTTGGTGGTGATTGCTCTTTCCTCTTAAGTAACAAGGTAACCGCTTGAAGTTGTCAACCCCTTCTCCTACCCTGTTAAACAAATGCCCAGCTGCCATCCCAGCTGGCATGAGTTCTGCCACCCTACCTGCTGATTCTTGCCATTGAACAAACAACATGCAGGCTCCCTTATGACATTCTTCTTTCAAGTGGCTGGTTCCCTTTCTTCTGACCATGCGTCTCCAAATACTTCCTAAACCTTACCTTCCAATGCCTAACCATCCACTAGCTGTTATTTATTACCATTATTTACTATATACAGGGCTATAGGTGAGTGTGCAGTACTGTATAAAGAACAGTTTGTGTGCCAGAAACCTCTCTAAACAGATGATATGACAGGGATTGCTGTAGGGAGATGAAAATAAGCCAGAAACTGTTTACCTCAAGTAAGGAGATGTGCCCATTGTGAAACAAGCAGGCCTCTTCATGTATTCTGCTGGTCCAGAAGGGGAGGGGCTCAATTGGAGAGAATGCCAGGAAAGGGGAATTTAGGGAGACATGAAAGAGGAAGGAGGGGACACAGAGGTCCTTGGGGGGAAAATGATATGCAGAGAATGGGGAAGAAAGTATCCAAGTCAAAAGGTGCAGTAGGAAATAAGATGTGGATAGATCCTTGATATTGAAGCAACTGAAGAGAGGCTTGGAGTAGATCAGTATTTTTCATGGGCAAAGCATTAGGAGAGGAAGAGAAGTTTGACAGCAGCCACTATATACTCCCTGTCTCCTCCCACAGTTGTCCCACTGGATCCTGCTGTCAGTGTGCATGTACCTCATTAGCAAACTCGGAATCTGTTCGAGACAGCAGTGTCCATAAGCCATGCATGCACTCCATACTTCCTTGTGCATCCTGGCAAGGGCAGAAATGGTGGGGTAATTATAGTCCTCCCACAGTTCCCTCTTACTACCCATAGTAACCAGAAAGAAGCCTGGAAACAGTCTAACCTGCAACTTATTCCTGAGCCCTCTTCAGTCAGTGTTCCTAATATCTCTGAAGAACTGCCTTAATCTAAAACAGCACATTTAAAAAAGATCACAAATGATGTAGAGTACGTCACACTCCCCCCCGCCATGGTAGATTCTAAAGGCCAATGGGCTTAAACCCTGTCTGTAATGCCCTTAGTTGATGGACACAGTGGATGTGTGATATGTATCCACCTGCAACAGAGAACAGGCAAGTGCTTGATTTGTCATTCCCTTTTATCCTGCCCATGAAAATCAAGAGACCTGAGGGAATCTCAATCACCATTAGCACCATTGGCCAGAACCTGCAGATCTGAACTAGGGAAAGTTTATCAGGAATCAGGACTTGTTCATGAGGATAGATGAAATCATAAACATTTAGACAATGGTTTCATATTTAAAATACTATGCATATGATGTTTAATGTTTTTCGTTCTTTGAGAATTGCCCTGAGCCTTTTATACGAAGTGGCCTTGTTATTTCACCCTAGAGCCATACAGAGGAGGTTCCACAAGAAGACAATGGAACAGAGGCTTGTACGTCTGATTGTTTCCTTACTCCAAAGGAGAAAGGAGGTCTTATCCAGTCCTAGGCTTGAGGCTGAACATTTGTTGAACATGCATCTCACCTCTGTGATGATAATGCTTGCCTGCTCCTTTCCAGGTCTCCAGCCTAGGATTGCTTTTTGGCTTTTGATTTACTGGATGTGTACTACTTCCCAGCCCACAGAAAGTACCAGAGTTTCATTGTAAGGCCCGATCAGTACCAGTATCACAGATCAGGCCACGTTCATCTGCAGCAGTTATGGCTGCAAACCTGTTACAGACCACTGATCTGGCTTCTGGACCAACCAGACCTCTTGCTGAAAGATCAGGATCAAGTATTCTACTCAGCTCTGACGCTGCTGCATTTGATGCCTTCAGTGCTTGAAAGGGACTGGACAGAGACTTGCCTGGGATGGTTTAAACAGAGACAACCCTGCCTTGAGCAGGGAGGTGCGCTATATGACTTTGTGAAGTCCCCTTCAGCCCTACTTCCCCATGATCTATAAAAAGTTCAGGACATCCTAGCACAGAGCAGAATTCCATCTAAATGAAATGATGGGTGGCTCAATATGGCTTAGACCTGGCAGAGATACCAAAGACTCTAGGACTTTTGCTGCAATTGAGATACTTTAGATTTTCCTTAACTCATCTAGGGTCCACCTGGCAGCAATACTATCCACAAAAAAAGTGGTTCCTACCAAAAGATTTGTTTTCAGTCCTCTCTTCCTTGATACTATTTAAGATTCTTTGGGGGTGTAATGCATACTTGAATCCCTAGTACTCAGCCCTGGCATCTCAGTGTTGTCCTCTGAAACTTATGGAGCTCTCCTCAGTGTTTCATCCAATATCTCACCTTCCAAATAAAATAAGTCTTTCTGGTGGCCATCCTGCCCATCAGAAGAATGACTGAACTTCCAGCATTCATGGCAGAGCCCTTTTATACCTCATTTCACAGGGACAGAGTAACATTGAAACCTTATGCAAAATTCATTCCCATGGTAGCTTCTGAGTTCTACCTAAAACATTTTATGAATGGACCTCACTGTTGTTTCCAAAACTGCATACCACAAATGGGGAGAAAATATATCCAAATGCTTTGATTTTACGTGACTTGACTAAAACTTTTATACTGTTCCTTCATCTAATTGTGGTTAAAACTAGCTACTCTAAGGGCTAGAGAATTTCATCTCAGAGACGGTCAAAACTACTAACAGTGTATCTTACTGCACAATCCACTGACTGATGTCCCCATGTCTCAGACTTTTAAGAATTGGTCCACTAGAGCCCAGACATGATTTTTGGCCTGCTTCTAAAACATACCAATACCAAAACTTGACATGGCTAGTGCAGAGCAATCTGCTCGTTTATAAAGCATCATGCACTGGGTTTGGCTGCTAGATGCAGTGTCAGATCTGGGAGAATGGTAGTCCAGTCTCTGCTTGTCAGATGCAGCTGGTACTCCTCCCTGACCATCTCAAGAGGGTGGTGAGCACCTGTCACCTACTATGAGATTTGCAAAAACTGGTTCTTTAAGAGGTTATCAGTGGAGATTCCATTTTCTGTTCCCACTTCTTAGAGTGGTCAGCAGCCCCGGGCTTAAAGTTGTGAAAGAATTAAGGAAGGATAGCAGCCTTTATGCCCTTATATGGGAACAAGCAGACATAGGACACATTTACAGCCCAAGTGGACACGATTGCTCAGACAAGATTCCAGCTGCACACAAGGCACAGGCACAGGTAGTGAGATCTGGGAGGACTTCAACAACTTGAAAAACTGCAGTTACTCTTGGGCAAATAACCATTTTCTTCATATGTGCTCCCACCTAGATATGTGATCCCAGCCCCCCCCCCCCCCCCCCCC